CCTTGATGTTCATCTCGCCTTATTCTGGGTCCGAATAAAACATCAGATCATGCACAGACTATCCTGTCTCTTTGAATTTAAATCTATATTTATTCACACCGGCTCTTGAAAAAGTGCGGGGGACAAATTTCCGTGATATTAAAAGTGGGGGGGACACGTCCCCCGCGTAATCTACGCCCCTGACTCTACTTGATGCATAAAATATAACAAGACCAACTCTGCCAGTAGCACGGTATCTTTGCTACAACTGAAATTGTATCATATGCACTGACAGGATCACCCTTTCTGACACATGCCGAAGCCTCGGGTCGTATTTTAAATGGTCAATTCAGTCCTCATGAGTAACCAAATCAGAAACACTTTATTCAGATTTGTGCGCATTATTCCAAATAATCCCCTTAATTTGCTGCTCTGGGTGTGAGAACACTGATAAACGCTTCCTTCTGCATCATAATCATAATCAAAACGACCACAGTCAAATTAAAGGGCTGCATTTCACTAGCAGCTCATATTACTATCAAGCATGACGCGCGTGCCTCAAAACAACGTAGATACATAGGCTATCAATTGTAGACAAGTGATGCATTTTCAAATGCTTTAAAGTAAACGCTCATGATGAGACATCTACAAACGCACTAAAGCTAAATGTATGTGTAACTACTACCAAGCAACTGCTCTCAATTGATAGACAGTATATACGCGAATCGCTCGATCAGTTGAGATACGAGTGAACGCGAATGCAGTAGTAGTACACAGGTAGCCTTTTGGGGTTGCGAAGTACGATTCTAAATGTCGAGTTGAAATGATCATATAGATAAAGGATATAGCGGCGAAGAAGACTCTTACCTGTCTGCTCTCTGTGAGTGAGTTGTAGGGATAGCAGCAGCAGCAGCACACTCGTTCAACTTGTCAACAGTATCAGCGGATGATTCCACGATTAGCTTCAAGCATCTCCGCGAAAAAAAAAAAATCACTGCTTACTTTTTCGAATCAGTCGTGTGATTATTCAAAGGAAATGCCTCAGCTTAATGTAAAAACGGCACTTGTAAAATGCTACGATGCTTTCCAGTGTAGACAACAAAAACCCTCTCAGTGTTATTGGATTCTTCCAAGGCTGGCTTTGCACACTACTACAAGTGCACTGATTACAGCGCATCTCTCTCGTACACTCTACAGAAATATTGCAACGTTTTTAAATAGACAAATCCATGTATACTGAACAAGCAAAACTGAAAAAAAAAAAATAATAATAATAAATTAGCAAACATCAGTAGCCTATGTATATATATATATATATATATATGTGTGTATATATATATATATATATATATATGTGTGTGTGTATATATATATATATATATATATATATATATATATATATATATATATATATATATATATATATATCACTGTTATAATCTAAAATAAAAAAAATGTAATTTCTATTATTTTTGCTTCCAATAAGATAATGAGGGGGTAGTCAGTTGTTTACTCCTATTGGTTGGTTGTAATATATTAGATGCAGTTTTAATATCATTGGCAATATAATAAAGAGTAGTATTATTTGAGAGTAGTATCAGTATTGTTTGAAATATAATTAAAGATACCCTTGTTTATTGGTGAATGCCTTCATTTTCAATGGTTACATCACTGTCAACAAATCTCTTCCATAATAATCATATTCAATAACAACAGTGTTGGAATTCAAATCGATGACGAAAATTGTAAACTTAGTTCATTCTTGCTCCAATATAACAACTGATTATATTATTATTAATATCTTTTTTCCTCACTTTATTTTGATTTTCTCCACCTCAGCAGGTTAGGCTACACCATACAGATATAGAATGATTGAAGAATAATAGCATGATGGTACACGGACTAATGATTTATTATTAAACGGTCTATATCTGTCTTTTATAATGGAATATTGAATCAATAATATGTATTAATTTAATAATATTGAATATTATTTGCATATTTAATAAACAATAATCAGAATAGTCCAGAAACTCACTCCTTTTTAGACAACAGTTGACAGGTGACAACAAGCGAGCGTGATTGGGATTCTGATCCGGGTTCAGTTTCTTTTAACTTCTAAATTAGATTATGTTTGAACAAAGAAAATAAACTGTTTTGTGAACGGTTGCAATGCTGTGGGCGGTCCTGTCCTCGTTTTCAGTTCTGGTTTTAGCCAATCAGCGCCGGACTTCTCTACAGACGTCAATGCGAGGTTGGTTTAGCCCTTTGTACAGTGTGTTAGCCACCTGTGCTCTAACAGTAGCGGCACAATGAATGAATTGTGATCATTGACAACACATGGATCCGTAAGTAACATATCACATAACCTGTTATAAACGAAAGAGAAAACAAGTTCGATTTTTTGTTCGTTTTTGTTAGCTGTCTTATCTTCAAGTTATCCGACCGGTTAGCAAGGTTGTTAGGCTACTGCTAGCCTGCTGTCAGACTGCATCTCTCAGTTGACACAAGCCTGACTTTAAACCTACTGGATCATTCTCTATGAATGAAGCACACTGGGGAACAAAGACAGCTGTGTATAGTTAATCTATGTCTAATAGCATACATTTATACACAATATTATCTTAAACCGCTTATTGTTACCTATGTATCTGAACACTGTCAGATTATGCCAAAATAGTGCAAGATATGATTTGTGACGTGACTGTGTATGACTGTTTTCATGTCTGTGTTCATAAGCCAAGATGTTTTCAGTGTAAAGCGGCTGGATTCTACAATGTTCTTCAATATCGATTAGTTCCACATCACAACAAATGTGTATTTCATGTCTTCATTGCTGTTCAGCACAATATGTTTAGTAAGATATTTAGGAGACCATGGTTGTATTGTTACCATGTGGTCTGAAATATTAATACCGTTTCTCTATTCGATTACTGTTTCATTTTATCCTATGATTGAGTTTTGTTAGATGCCAGAATTGTTGCTGGAATAGTTTGATTGATCCCCTTCAAGGTTGTCCTCTGTGCTTACAAGCACAGCTTTTGTCTCTCATCCAAAATTCATTGTCTCATTCTCTCTTTCATCTGTTCGTCTAGCACATAGAACGTCCCAGATCTTAACCTCACTGTGATTGAAAACTCCTGCCATCAGTAACCTCCTCATGTGCATCATCTTCTTGAAGTTTGACCCTCGGCCTGCATCCAAAAATGCCTACAGGTAGTGCACCTGCTCCCTGAAGCTTTATTGTTTATGCGTTCAATCAATGCAAATGGTGATAGGGAAACACACATTCTTGCACATGTGTGGGAACAAGATGTTGTTTGATACTGTCAGAAAACATTTTTAAATAAATGCTGAAAAAGTATAAAGTGTTGGCATGTAAAGCAAAATCTTTTGGCCCATATTTCAGCTTTTGAAGGTGCACTCATTTATTGTAGCGCTGGCTTATGTGGCCGTATTTGACTTGTTTTGACACTGTCCAGTAAATGCTGAATCATGGAAAAGCAAACGTTTTCAGTTACCGGTGACATTGTATAAATGCTCACAGTGAGCCATGATTAATTTATTCCACAGACGGAAGTGTCCAGGAAAAGAGGGGGTATTATTAGTCGCTGTGATTTTGCCAAGTAAGACATGTTCCTGGATCAACATCTGTTGTTGATCCTGGATCAACATTACTGTCCAAAAATGTAGATTTAACCCAGTCCCTACCCCTAAACCTAACCTTACCCATAATTTATTCCTAAAATCAGTGTGAAATGATAGCTGATTAACAAGGGTGTAGAAGCACCTAACCCTGATCATAAGCCTAAATCAATCCTAAGTTATCCTTCAATTCTGATTGGTTGATTGGAATGTTGTTCCAGGATCAACAAGGATGTTGTACTTGGTGAAATCACGCTCACCCTACTGGTAAAAATTTTGGAATAATTCTAGTTTCTTAAAAGTTGTTTAAGGCTGCATTTACTAAAAATACAGTGAAAACAATAATATTGCATTTTAAAACTTACTGTTTCCTATTTTAAAATATTTAAAATGTAAAAAAATATATTCTTGTAATGACAAAGCTGATTTTCAGCAGCCGTTACTCCAGTCTTCAGTTTCACATGATCCTCCAGAAATCATTCTAATATGTTGATTTGGTGCTCAAGAAACTTTTCTTATCAACGTAGAAAACAGTTTTGCTGCTTAAAAACTGTGATTTTTTTTCTTCAGGATTCTTTGATAAATAGAAAGTTAAAAAAATATTTTTTTGTAAGAATGTTTTTACTGTCACTTTTGATAAATTTATCGAATCCTTGCTAAATGAAAGTAAACTCCAAACTTTTGAACTTTGGCATTTTTGTTTCAGGAAAATGATTTATTTTATTTACATGAATGTTACATTAAATCCCAGGTGGCTTTATTTCATCATTGCATTTAGTCTAACCTATAATTTTGTTTAAGCTGTGGTGTGCACTTACTGTAAAAGGCCAGAAAAACAATGAATGTGCAGTACTGCAATAGTGTTGTGGCGTACCAAGCTGATGAACTAGACCCAGGTGACCTCTACCACAGTTTTAAGCTCTCAGTCCCTAAAGGATATGCCTCTAGGTCAGGGTTTGCCAAATGTCAGGAGTCTCTAAAGAGCTAGAGAGAGCAAAATCAGTATTTTAATTTTTTTTTGTCAATAGCCGTTGCCTGGTGAGCTATGAATGATGTGTATGTAATCAATTTGCATGTGCTAGTGTTCTATGTCTTCCTTCCCCTTCACTGCAGAGAGGTTACTTTTGTTAATACTGTCAGATTGTAACACGCTACACTAATCAGGATTATTGCCCAGCAAGCTGTAATTTGATTATCTAATATTGAGTCAGTCACAGTGGTTCAGCGTCACATGACTCAACCCAGGATGTAAAATCTAATCAGTGACACTGTGTCTTGAAGGTTGTCTTGGGTGCATTGGTTCCTCTGATTTAGGAATCAACTTAGCATCAACTTGTTTACAAAACAGTGCCAAAATGTACTATAATTAAGTACTATAATCAGGTAAATGTGTTAGCAATATTACAGAATACAGAGTGCATTTCTGTTTATATTGCATCCTGTAACCTAGCAACATCATATCAAATAATAATCAGAAACAACGTCAGAAGCATCTTACCTGGGCTAAGGAGAAAAAGAACTGGACTGTTGCTCAGTGGTCCAAAGTCCTCTTTTCAAATAAAAGTAAATTTTGCATCTCATTTGGAAATCAAGGTCTGGAGGAAGACTGGAGAGGCACATAATCCAAGCTGCTTGAAGTCCAGTGTGAAGTTTCCGAAGTCAGTGTTGATTTGGGGTGCCGTGAAGTCTGCTGGTGTTGGTCCATTGTGTTTTATCAAGTCCAAAGTCAATGCAGTCATCTACCAGGAGATTTTGGAGCACTTTATGCTTCCATCTGCTGACAAGCTTTATGGAGATGCTGATTTCCTTTTCCAGCAGAATTTTAGCACCTGCCCATAGTGCCAAAACCACTTCCAAGTGGTTTGCTGACCATGATATTACTGTGCTTGATTGGCCAGCCAACATGCCTGACCTGAACCCCATATGGAATCTATGGGATATTTTCAAGAGAAAGATGAGAAACAGTCGATCCAAGCTAAAGGCACAATAGTGCCTCAGCAGTGCCACAGGCTGATCGCTTCCATGCCACACCTCACTGCTGCTGTCATTTGTGCTAAAGGAGCCCTGACCAAGTATTGAGTGCATAAATGAACATACTTTAAAGAACTTGAACTTTTCTGTTTTGCAAATCCTGTTTTTGATTGATCTTAGGAAATATTCTAATATTTTGAGATACTGGATTTTTGACTTTCATGAGCTGTAAGCTCTAATCATCAAAATTAAAACAATTTTTTTTTTAATGTTTTACTTTACATTTAATGAATCTAGAATATATAAAAGTTTCACTTTTTGAAATGTTACAAAAAAAATTAACCTTTTCACGATATTCTAATTTCTTTAGATGCACCTGTAGGCTTCAACTGTAATGTCATGTCATTAGCACTGACCTCTGCAGCGGATTTCACTGACAGAAGCTACAATTTGGCATAAAAAAAAAAAAGCTCATGCACTGTGATTCACCCCATTCAGGTCAGTG